GGGTCTGCTTTGGGGCCGTCTTGAAGGTCTCTGGGGCCGTCTTGGGGGCCGTCTTGGGGGCCGTCTTGGGCGCTCTTTGGGCCCTCTCGGGCCGTCTTGCGGGCCTCTTGGGCGGCCATCTTGGGGCCGTCTTGGGGTGGTCTTCGGGGCTTACGTGCCCGTCTGGGAGCGTCGGGTGCCCGACACGGCGAGAACGCCAATGTCACTGATTCTGTCCTCCTGAGGGCCGTCTCGGGGCCATTTCGGGGCCATCTTGGGGCCGCCTTGGGGGCCGTCTTGGGCTGTTATTGGGGCCTGGTCCCGTCTCGGGATGCCGTGTGCCCGAAAAGACGAGAACGCTAAACTCATTGACAAACTTCAGTATCATCACATAATTTGGCCTCATGGAGGTCCTTTTGGAGCCCTCTTGGGGCGTCTAAGGGGCCTCTTGGCCTTCAGAGGCAGCCTTGGGCCCTCCCTGGGCAGTCGTGGGTTTCTCTTTGGGTACTTCAGGGCCGTCTCGGGGCCATCTTGGGGCCGCCTTGTGGCCGTCTTGGGCTGTTATTGGGGCCCTCTCGGGCCGTCTTGCGGGCCTCTTGGGGCCCTCTTGGTGGACTCTTGGTGCGATCTTTGGGGGCTCAGGGGCCCGTCCTTGGAGCGTCGGGTGCCCGAACAGGCGAGAACGCTAAAACCACGTAACTATCTAGGGACCATCAACGATGTTGGCCTTCTGGAGGTCCTCTTGGAGCCCTCTTGGGGCGTTGGGGCCATCTTGGCCGTCTTAGAGGCGCCTTGGGACCGTCCTTGAGGCTTTTTTTGTAATCTTGGACGTCTTGGATGCTTCCTGGCGGCCATCTTGGGCCATCTTGGAGGCGCGTTTTCTGGTCTTCCCACTCCTCCTGTGTCCTTTCGCGTCCTAAGCACAGGGGCGGCGGATCGAAGACGCCTACGGCGAATCACCGCCGCCCCCTTCCTTTCGCAAACGCCCGCGCGGCCAAACGTTGGGCCGAAATCAGGCCAAGCTATTGGACTGTGTGTTCCCCGCAGCCGTTGTGGAACCCTTCGGGGGAACACTGGGGAGAGGACGAGAACGGAGGAGGGGAGGGAGGAGAATTCGGAGCAGGAAGGCCATGAGGCCTCTTGAGTCCCTCTTGGGGCTCTTGTGGACTGCCTGGGAGCCTTTGGGGGGGATCTACGTGGCATCTCGGGGGCCTCCTGGGGTCTCTTGGGGGTCTCCTGGGACCTCCTGGGGACATCTTGGGGATTCCTTGGGGGCCTCTTGGGGGCCTCCTGGCCTTCGGAGGCCGTCGTGAGCCCTTCCTGGGCAGTCGTAGGTCTCTTTTTGGGCGCTTGAGGGCAGTCTTTGAGGTCTCTGGGGCCGTCTTGTGGGCCTCTTGGGGGCCTCTTAGGCTGTCTTGGGGACACCTCGGGCCGTCTTGCGGGCTTTCTGTGGTTCTCCTGGGCCGTCTTGGGGCGATCTTGGGGGCTGATGGGCCCGCCTTTGAGCGTGGGACGCCCGAAAAGGCGAGAACGCCAAAGTCATGTAAACACCTAAGGAGCATCATGGATTTTGGTTTCCTAGAAGTCCTCTTGGAGCCCACTTGGGGAATCTTTGGGCCCCCCTTGGGCCGTCTGGAGGACATCTTGGGCCGTATTGGGGCCTTCTTGCCTTTCTTGGAGGCGCCCTTGGACAGTCTCGGAGGCAATTTTGGGTCTTCAGGGCCGTCTTGGAGCCATCTTGGCCGTCTTGGCGGCCATCTTGGGCGTCTTGAGGGCCGTCTTGGGACCTTCTTGGGGCCGTCTTGGGGGCCTCCGGGCCTGTCATGGGGCCATCTTGGCAGCCTCTTGGGCGATCTTGGGGCTATATTCCGAAAAATAGCAAATACCCGACTCCTTCAAACACGGAGCATCAAGGATTTTTGTTTCTTCGGGCTTTCCTGTTTGTCCTCTTGGAGTCCTCCTGGGGCTTGAGGTCTCTTGGGGGCCTCTTGGGCCGTCTTGGGCCATCTTGATGCCATTTTGGGCCGTCTCGGATGCACCTGGGGCCGTCTTGGAGACATCTCGGGGGCATCTTTGGGCTCTCTTGGGGCCATCTTGGGCGTCTGGGAGGCCATCTTGGGCGTCCGGGTGGCTTCTTGGGCCTTCTTGGGGCCGTCTTGGAGGCTTCTTGGGCCGTCATGGGGCCATCTTGGACGCCTTTTGGACGATCTTGGGGCTACCTCGGAGGTCTGTTGGGCCGTCCTGGGCCGTCGGACGCCGAAGAGGAGCAAATACCGAAATCCTTCAAGCGCCCAAAACCCTCCATGCTCTTCGGGCCTTCCTGTATGTCCTCTTGGATGCCTTTTGGGCCGTCTTGGATTTCTCATGGGGGCCTCCCGAGCCGTGATAAGGCCATCTTCTGCCATTTTTGGTGCATCCTGGGCCGTCTTAGAAACGTCTTGGAGTCATCTTGGGTTTTCTTGGAGACATCCTCTCTGTTTCGGATTCATCGTGGAGGTCATCTTGGGCCATCTTTACCGTCTTGTAGGCGATTGGACCAACGGAGTTGAGTTTTCGGTGACGTTGTGGGTCCTTCCGAGTGGCTGGCAGGTTGGGCCGAAGCCCCACAAGAACCCTAAGCCACCCAGACGTCCAGCACGCCAGGCATCCCTATTGAATCAACACGGGGTAGCGGATCGAAGGTGCCTACGGCGAGTCACCGCCGCCACCTGACGTTGAGGATACGCCTATGTAGCCACACGTTTGTGCAAGGTTTAGCGACGCTATTTGACCATGCGTTCTCCCATTCGTAGAAGAAGCCCTTCGGGGGACACGTGGGGGAGGAAGAGGAGGATCAGGAGTGGGAGCAAAAAGGACCTCTTGGGAGCTTCTTGAGGCACTCTCGGGGCCTCCTCGGAGCTTCTCGGGGGCCTCTGGGAGGCCTCTTGGGGGCTTCCTGGGGCCTGTCGTGGGCCTTTTGGGGCTTCTTGGGAGCCTCTTTGGCCGTCTTAGGGCGTTCTTGGCTAGTCTGACACCGTCGGAAGCCGTCTTGAGGGCCTGTCTGGGCCGTTTTGGAGCCCTCTGGGGGCGCCTCCGGGATTTCTCGGATGCCATCTTGGGCGTCTTGGAGACCACATCTGACCAAGTTGACTCCCTTTGGGCCGTCTTGAGGGCCTCTTGGGCCGTCCTGGGGCTATCTTGGAGGTCTCTTGGGTGCTATGGGGGCGATATTGTAGGCCTCTTGAGCCGTCTTGGGTTTTGGGTCAGGCCGAAATGAAGCAACGGCCAGCATCCTTCAAACACCGATTTCGAGCTTTCCTGGAGGACCCCATAGAGGCCTCTTGGGCTGTCTTGAAGGCCTCTTGAAGGCCTCTTGGGCCGTCTTGGGGCATCTTGAAGTCATCGTGGGTCGTCTTGGGTGCATCTTCGGCCGCCTTAGGTGCATCTCCAGGGCATCTTGGGCTCTCTTTGGGCCATCTCGGCTGTCTTGGAGGCGTCTTGGAGGCATCTTGAAGGAGGAGGAGGAGGAGGCGGAAGATGAGGAGGAGGATGAGGAGGCGGAGGAGGAAGAGGAGGAGGAGGAGGAGGATGAGGAGGAGGAGGAGGAGGAGGAGGAGGAGGAGGGGGCTGCGGCGGCGGCGGCGTTGGCGGCGGCGGCGGAGGAGAAGAGGAGGAGGAGGAGGAGGAGGAGGAGGCGGAGGAGGAGGAGGAGGAGGAGTGGACGAGTGGACGAGTGGACGGGTGGACAAGGGGAGGAGGAGGATCAGGAGGAAGACGAGGCGGTCGAATGGACGAAGGCGGAAGGAGGCAGGAGTTGTTGGGGCCAGTGCCGCCTCAGGGGATGCTGATCCGCGAGGAGGACGCCCGCCGCCGCGCCGAGGAGAGAGCGCGCCAGCTCGAGCAGGCGTTCCCTACTGGCAAGGGGGAAGGATGGGGAGGAGAATGGGATGATGATGATGCTGCTGATGATGATGAGAAGACTGATGATGAAAATGATGATGGTCATGATGATGATTATGACGATGATGATGATGATGATGATGATGATGATGATGATGATGATGATGATGAAGCACATGATGATGATGATGATGGTGGTGGTGGTGGTGATGATAATGTTGTTAATGGTGATGATGCTGCTGTTGAAACTGATGATGATGATGATGCTGTTGATGATGTGGATCTTGATGTTGATGTTGATGATGATGCTGATACTGATGATGCTGTTGTTGATGATTTTGCTGCGGATGATTATGCAGTTGATGACGCTGATGATGGTCATGATGATGATGATGATGATGATGATGATTATGATGATGATGATGATGATGATGATGATGAAGATCAGGCTGATTGTGATGTTGGTGATGATCGTGATGTTGGTAATGATGATCTGCATATGGTATGATGATGTTGATGCTGATGCTGCTGATGGAGATGCTGATGGAGATGATGATGTCGATGCTGTCGATGATGATGCTAGTGATGATGATGATGCTGATGATTCTGATGATGCTGATGATTCTGATGATGCTGTTGATGTTGCTGTTGATCATGATGATGCTGATGATGATGCTGCTGATGATGCTGATGATGCTGCTGATGATGATAATGTTGCTGATGATGATTGTCATGTCTATGATGCTGACGAATATGCTGATGAAGCTGATGCTGCTGATGATGCTGATGATGCTGATGATGCTGATCATGATGATGCTGATGATGACGATGATGATGATTATGCTTACCATGATGATTCTGATGATTATGATGATGCTGATGATGCTGTTGATGATGCTGTCAATCATGGCGATGCTTATTCTGATGATGCTGCTGATGATGCTGCTGATGATGATGCTGATGCTTGTGAGGTTGATGCCGATTCTGATGATGCTGTTGCTGATACTGATGATGCTGATGATGATGCTGCTGATGATGCTGCTGCTGCTGATGATGACGTTGGCGATGCTGATGCTGTCGATGATGATGCTGATGCTGATGATGATGGTGATGCTTATGATGATGTCGATGATGATACTGATGATGATGCCGCTGATGATGCTGATGATGCTGATGATGCTGATGGTGGTCATGATGCTGATGCTGATGATGATGAAGGTGATGATGATGCTGACGATGATGACGCCGTTGGTAATGATGGTCAGGATGATCATGATGCTGATGCTGTTGTTGATGCTGATGATACTGCTCATGATGCTGCTGATGAAGATGATGTTGATGCTGATGATGATGATGCTGATGCTGTTGATGACGGTGATGATGATGATGATGATGCTGGTGGCGATGATGATGATGCTGTTGTTGATGATGCTGATGATGCTGCGGATGGTGATGATGCTGATGATGCTGATGATGAGTATGATGACGCTGATGTTGATGATGATGAGTATGAAGATGATGGTGATGCTGATGGTGATGATGACGATCAGATGCTGTTGATGCTGCTGATGATGTTGGCGGAGATGATGATCATCATGCTCATGCTGCTGGTGATGACGATGACGATGACGATGCCGATGATGCTTATGATGATGATGCTGCTGATGATGATCATGATGATGAGGATGATGATGGTGATGATGATGGTGATGATGCTGCTGATGATGAAGATGATGATGCTGATCATGATCATGCTGCCGCTGATGATGATGACGATGACGATGCTGATGATGATGATTATTATGATGATGCTGATGATGATGAGGATGATTCTGATGATGATGGTCATGCTGATGGTGATGATGACGGTCACATGCTGATGATGATGCTGATGACGATGACGATGGTGACGATGGTGCGGATGATCATGCTGCTGCTGATGATGGTGATGCTGATGGTGATGCTGATGATGATGATGATGATGATGATGATGATGATGATGATGATGATGATGATGATGATGATGATGATGCTGATGCAGATGTTGATCATGTTGATGTTGACGAGGATGATTATGGTGATTGGTGGTGGTGACGACGATGCTACTGGTGATGCCTTTGATGAGTGTTGTGGGGGAGATGCTGGATCTATTGCTGCTGATGATGAGGGTGGTGGTGGTGGTGATGATGATGATGCTTGGTTCTGAGGCGATCTCCCCAACCACCTCGTCACCCTCAGTCCGACATAGAAGGCCATGCGAGTGCGCAAGGGCTCTCCCGTGCTTGAGCGCCCAGGTCTAGCTCCCAGGCCTGCCCGTTCCTGCACCTCTGCGGCGAAGGGGAAATTATGTTTGATGCCTTCCAAGTTCCCTGATGGAATTTTGTCGGACGTGGGTCTTGCAAGGGAGGTGGTCTCGCTGTCATTCGTCGATCGTCCGCTGGTCCCGGATGAAGTGAAAACGTCCTGCGCACAGGTGAGCACGTTGCTGCTATAGCGATGCTCTTGTTCTGGCGCTGGCGGTAATGCTGGATGGCGGGCTGCGAGTGTCTCATGATATCGAGGAGAGGTAGTGGGGAGTCCCTGGAGATTGAGGATCGTAGAACAGATTCATCTTTCTAGCTGAGATGACGAGTTGCGGGAGGCGGATGATGATGATTCTGCTGAGGAGGAGGAGGAGGAGGAGGAGGAGGAGGAGGAGGAGGAGGACGTTGAGGAGGATGAGGAGGAGGAGGATGATGAAGAGGAGGAACGTGAGGATGGGGGATGAAGGGGATGTTGGAGGGAGGAGTGATGATGAAGGAGCAGGTGGAGGAGGAGGAGGGAGGGATGGGGGGAAGGCATGGGGTAATCGAGGGGGGGAGGGATAGGAGGGGGACGGCAGGAATGGACGAGGGGGGGTTGCCCTCAGCTCGTTCACGCTTGTCCCGTGCCCACCTGGCAGCGGCCCTGCATGAGGGGCGCGCTTGGTCTGCACGGTGGGGCAAGGTGCTTCCGGGGAGCTGGTAGGGTGCCCCTGGCCTAAGGTACTCCCCCCCGCTTTACGCTCTATTTTGGACTCCCTGGGGCCCTCTGGGCCTCGTGAGGGGTGCTCTGGAGGCCGTTGGGGTCTGGGAATCCTGGGGGCACCGTGAGCCCGGGGCACTTCTGGCAGCACGCGGGCCGTCGCCCCAGAGGGCGCGCGCTGGCGCCTCTGCGCTCCGCGGACGTCGCCCGTCGTCTCGTCTCCTCTCGCTCTTCGTCCCCCGCCTGCCCGTGTTCAGGGCTGCTGGAACTGTTTCTTAGGCTCTAGGCCTCCCAGATGGGGTCCGACTAGGTGGGGTCGGAGGATCGCGCCGCATCGCCGATGCATCGCCGATGCGGCTCGATGTGGAGCCCGATTTGCTTCACGTCGGCGTCGCCGACGCATCGCCCACGTCGGCGATGCATCGCCGGTGCATCGCCGGTGCATCGGCGATACATCGCCGATGCATCGGCCATGTATCGGCGATGCGGCGCGATCCTGCGACCCCATCTACTCCGACCCCATCGAGGAGGCATCTGTAGGCACCCATGCCAATGTTTTCTGTTGCTGGAATTGGCGGTTCCAGAGCATGGCTCAGCGTTGGTGCTGTCGCATGCCTCAGTTTTGCTGTTGGTGCTTCCGTGGGGCAGCCTGGGCATCCACGTTGGGGACATGCGACTTCATCCGATGCTTCATCGTCATTTCCCTCGGCTTTCCTCCCCCGCCATGTGTTTTAGGCTGTTTCTCACGTGCCCAGGTGTCTCCCAGGCGCCTGGGTGTTCCCCGCTGCGCTGGAACGGCAAGCTGTTTTCCAGGCACCTAGGTGCCATTCGTCAAGTCGACATGGCCTTCCTGGCCGACCGTGTCGTACCCCAAGCCGCGCCGACCAGAAGAGTGATCAAGTCTTGGTAACTCCCAGTTTCGGGTAAGGGTGAGCTAAGCGTGCGACGTGAGCGACAGTCTTCGACGACACCGCCCATGACGAACATTTTGATGTGAATGACAATTGATGACGTCATGGTTGTGGATGGAGTCGGAGATGGGATGTGCGGTGCATGTGCGATGGACGGGGCAACGAATAGTTAACTACTGGTTGCAGACAGAAAGCAACGAGGGTGGCGACTACGATCACAGTGATAGTGCGGATGGCGGTGCCACGAATGATGTAATGACGATGGCGACGACGGCAACCATCACGACGATGGTGCTGGTTATGATGGTGGTGGGGGTGCGGCTCATGCCGCTTATGATTTGGCACAGTTTCGTTTCGGTCCGATCCGAGCTCGATGTTCAACCTGCGATTCCGATTCTGGTCTGAGCCCGTGTGTTGTTGCCGATTTCGATTTCGATCTGACCCACGCATGTCTATTCCTCTTGCACCCTGATGTTTCCGACTCAGATCGGTTGATACTTACGCAGGCCGAAAGATATTTTTTTGATCCCCACACGTCAGAAGCGACGTGCCGTTCAGGTGAGCGCATAGATGTACTCCCCTCGTGCCTCCTCCCTTCCTTCTTCTTCTTCTTCTTCTTCTTCTTCTTCTTCTTCCCCTCTCCGTCCTGAGAAGATCCCCCTTCCCCGTAGAATCATAGCTTGGGCCAGCAGATCCACAGTTTCGTGGATAGCATGGTGCTTCACGTGCGGTGCCCCGCGGATCCCACTGCCCCTGGGTCGGTAATGATATATTTATTCCCGGAAAATGAATGTATCCATGGGTTCTCCACACACGGGGAATTATCCGCGCAAGACAGAACTAGGATCCACGACTCTGTCGCACACCCGAAAAGGGATCTAATTGGATCCATCGGTGTTCTCATATATCTAGTCCAGGAGGAAACAACTGTCGGCCTGGGGATGTATCCCCTCGCCGTCATTGATGGACATGATGGCGTGATGGTGGTGGCGACTGCAGTAGGGGGGCGGTGGATGAGCAGGACTCCTCCTCCTCTTCCTCTTCCCCCTCCTCTTCCCCATCACTCTTCCCATTGCTCCTCGTGGGGGGGAGGGGGAGGGGGAGGAGGGGGAGGAGGAGGAGGAGGAGGAGGAGGAGGAGGAGGAGGAGGAGGAGGAGGAGGAGGAGGATGAGGAGGAGGAGGAGGGGTAATGGGGAATGGGGAATGGGGCGGCGGATGAGCAATTGCTGGAACCTCGGCAGCCGCGAGGCATGTGCTGGCTCTGCGCAGGGGCAGCAGACGCGGGAGGAGGATCTGCGCCTCCAGCTGATACAGGCGCTCGTGGCGGGTGAGGTGGACTTGAAGAGGGGGAAGAAGGAAGAGAAGGATGAGGAGAAATAGTAGGAGGAGGAGAAGGATGAGGATGACGAGGAAGAGGAGGATAGGGAGGAGGAGGAGGGGGAGGAGGAAGAGGAGGAGGAGGAGGAGGAGGAGGACGGGATACGTGGAGAAAGGGGATAGCGAGGTGGAGGACGATGGCCAGCGTGAAAAGACGAAAGACAGCGATCATACAGTTCAGCGAAGTGTCCAGCGAGATCCCCCTCTCGAAGCCTTCACCCGTGTAACTGCAACACAGGCTTGTGCTTGATTTCGAGTAAGGCTCAAACGACAATTCCATGGATCCGAACATCGCTACGTGCTTTCAAGCTCTAGGTCTTTACCTTTGGCGAAGTCTCAGGCTGGAGCTCCATTATGAAACATAGTAGCCCCCCACCATCTTTATAAGAAGCGGATGGACGAATCTGCGCGGCGCTGAGGCGAGAGTTCCATTCTGACAACGACCAGTGCTCAATCGTTGAAGCTGCGGCAAGATCTGAGTCGGATGTTCGCGGCGATAAGGCGATAGCCCCACTTTGAAAAGGAATCGCTTTCCATCCGTCAAGCGAGTCTAACTTTGACGACGAATATGCGCGGCGCTCAGGCGAGACCACCATTTTGACAGCTATCCCCCATCCATCCGTGACATCGTTACGAACTCATGTTTTTGATGTTCGCGGCGTTAGGGGAAGAGCCACAATTTGAGAACGCCTTCCGCCATCCGTGAAGTTGTTGCAAAGTTTCAGGCGAGTGTACGCGGAGCTTTGTCGAGAGCCACATTTTGAAGGAACCGCCCTCCATCCGTGACATTTGCTGTTTTTGTAAGGCGAGTGTGCGCGGCGCGAGAGCCACATCTTGAAAAGGAACCACTCTCCATCCTTGAACTCATTGCAAACTTTTACGACGAATGTGCTCGGCGCTGAGGCGAGAGCCACACTTTGAAAAGGAACCGCCATCAATCTGCGAAGCCGTCGCACACCACACCTTCACGATGAATGTGCTCGGCGCTACGGCGAGAACCACATTTTGACTCCCCCTCCGTCCATCCGCGAAGCCGCCGCAAACTCTGAAGTCGAAAGCGCGCGGCGCTGAGGGCGAGAGCCACACTTTGATCCCCCCCTCCATCCGTGAAGCTGCTGCAGAGTGTGAGGACGGGTGTGCGCGGTGCTGAGGGCCAGAGCTGCATTTTGACCCCCCCCCCTCTGTGAACCTGGTGCACATTCCAAGCTCGAGGATCACGGATGGTGAGCAAGCCTCAGGCGGAACGCGTGTCGCCCCGCCCTGCCAGCACGTCTGCGGGTGCGACAGGGAGGAGTTGTTCAGAAGGAAAGTGGACGGATGAGGAGGATGAGGAGGAGGAGGAGGACAATGTGCAGGAGGAAGAGGTGGATGGAAGGAAGAGGCGAATGAGGAGGAAGTGGAATGATCAGGTAGATCGAGGGAATATTCTGTTTGTGATGATGCTGACGACGGCGACGGTGGCGACGACGAGAAATAGGAACATGAGACGGATGATGAGGAAGATGGGGAGAAGAGGCCTGGATGGGGGAGGATACTGAGGATTATGACGAGGGAGAGAGGGATGAGGAGAAGAGGTCAAGTTGCAGTCTGATCTATTTGCGAGCGTGCACTCCTTGGCTGGTCTTCGATTCCAGCCGCTATTCTTACCATGGTGTGTTTGCTTGCTTGCGTTTTTTCCGTCCTCATCCTCGTCTCCTTGCCCTCGCGTCCCCTCCTCCGCCCTTATCCTAGCCCTCACTGTCCCCTTCCTCTACCGTCTCTTCCTTCACTTCCGCCACCGTTTCCTCGTCCCCCTCGTCTGCAGCCTCTAGGTTCTGTCGTGTTCCATTCGGGTATATGGTATCGGGATGCATTTGAGCTCGACGCTTGGGCCATCCAGTGAGGGATCCATATTGGCCCCCCCCCTGACTCTGGGAAGTCATGGGTGGGCCGACGTTGTTTGACATCTGGGGGATGCGCATCCCCCTGGATGTTCAACTGCAGGGTTCACATGTGGGTGCCCATGTGTTTTTAGCGGAATGCTGATGCAGTGCTGTGGAGCACCTGCTTCCGTATGTGGCTGAAACAACAGATCCGCAGGTGCAGGGGTTTAGTCGCATCGTCCCATTTTGCCACCCAGGCTCAAGGAGCTGACAGGGTGCCACGTTGACCGACAGTCGGTTGGCGCCTCCTCTTCTTTTCTTAGGCAAACTCAGATCGACTGGGATCCTAGCGTCTGACTCCTCTTCCTACTCCGCCTCTTCCTCCTGCTAAGAAACAGAGAAGCAACATTTTCGTATGATGGACAGACGAAACATCGGCTTCACACCGACACACTAATACTATATGTGCTTCGCCCACCCCAGGGGCGACGAGCGTTGAGAATTCTTAGAGTTTAAGGTCCGTGGCGGGCGCTTTCTGGCCACACCGCTCGTGACACGATATACCACAAGATGGTTGTACAATAATGTTCTGTTCGGACGCGCGCCTCCAAGGAGGACACACAGTACAAGTCAGTGTCGTGGAACCGATCCCCATCCCCATCTCCATCCCCATCCAGACCCCGACCACCTCAGCACCCCAGTTGGGGACATAACCTTCGAAACCCGGAGGAAACGGTCCATATCCCCCTCGAAGGGGGTTCATTGGCCAGTGGGGCCCAGGCCACGCCCATGGGGATAGGGGCCGGTTAAACGAAGATGCTCAACTACACGCCGGTTGTTGGAAGTCGGTATTTTTGGACACCCATGTCCCAATCTTTTTTGGGTGCCTTCCTACTTCAAGAGCGGAGTGGTCTTTCTCTTCCCTCGTCCTCGGGGGGCGGGCGGAAGCCTAATCTACTCTCGATGCCTTCCCACTGCATGCTTCTGACTACGGCAGGTTCGTGTCGTGTCGACCGGCGGCGACCCCGCCAGCGGTGTTCAATTTTGAGCGCCGCGGGCGACCCGGAATCGTTCGACGTGGAACGATTTGGACGTTTCGGAAACGGCCGATCGTTCAAGGTTGAACGATCCCCGCGGCGTCCGAAACCAACGCCGAAGTCGGCATGACGCGAACCTGCCGCAGTTCTCCCGACGGGCGGGTAGTATCGGCGTCACCCCAACATACTTATACTATATGTGCGTCGCCCCCCTAGGGGCGACGCGCGCACCGAGAAATCTTCCAGTACATGCGTCGTGGCGGGCGCTTTCTGGCCACACCGCTCGGGAAAGGCTCTACTACACTATGGGTATGTACTATGTGTTCGGGTCGGACGCGCGCCTCCAGGGAGGACATCCAGTACATTGGTGTGTCCCCGTGCGTCACACAGCGTGCCCCCCTGCGTCCCAAGAGGTCCCGAAACCGTGCGCTGACGGCCCGTGCGGTGAGGTCTTGGGGAATTTCGAGGTCACCGCACGGTCCTCCTCCCCCTCCCCCTTCTCCTCCCCCTCCCTCTCCTCCTCCTCCTCCTCCCCCTCCTCCCCCTCCTCCTCCTCCTCCTTCTCCTCCTCCCCCTCCTCCCCCTCTTCCTCCGCCTCCTCCTCCTCCTCCTCCTCCTCCTCCTCCTCCTCCTCCTCCTCCCAAGAGGGACCCCCGCAGGTGCAGGGGCGCCTGGCGCGGGAGGAGCAGGCGCGCCGCGGCGCCGAGGAGCGGGCGGCCGCCGCCGTGGAGCGGGCCGCCGTCGTGGAGCGGGCGGCCGCGGAGGGGGCCGCCGCGGCGCCCGCGGCCCTGGTGGCCCGCGGGCCCGCGGGCGGGGAGGAGGCCGCCCAGGGGCCGAGGGAGGAAAAGACGCCACAAGCACAGAACTTTCTGCAGGAGGGGAAAACACACACAGAGACACAATCCCTCGTCGACACCCAGGAGAAAACATTTATGGGAACATATGGGAAGTGTGGGGGGGGGGGAAGACGAGAACCCCGAACATAGGGGAACATATGGGGAGTCCTGTGACTTGTGTCTACTTCTTTGTGTGTCCCAGGGCCCCTTCACTCGTGGCGCTCCGCACGGAGGTCTGGGATCCGCGCCAGGCCCCCCCCCCGCGGCGGCGCGCCAGGGGAGGGCGGGTCCAGCGCGGATCCACGAGGTCCGCGCAGAGCGCCAAAAGTTTGTGCCCTTGCCGTCTGCGGCGGGCGGCGAGCGGCAGCCTCCTCCCACTTCCTCCCACTTCCTCCCTCCTCCTCCCTCCTCCTCCCTCTCCTCCTGCTCCTCCTCCTCCTCCTCCTCTCCTCCTTCTTCTCCCTCCTCCCTCATCCTCCTCCTCCTTCTCCTCCTCCTGTGCCCCTGGGCCCCTTGATCGTGGCCGCCCTCGATCGTGTTTATGTTCTTGAGAACGGGCGGCGAGCGGACGGACACCCGCTGGTCGTTTAGGGCAGGTATCTTGGGACGCCCAGGTCACAATCTACCTACGGCGCCTTCCCACTTCAAGCAGCGACATGCTTTTGACCGTGTTCTGTTCTGTGCTTCTCTGGGAGGGCCTGGACCAAAGCTGCTCTATCCGCCCTTCTACTTCATGGATCTACCTACGTCTTCCGACTGACGGGTAAGCAGGGGAGGACGTACAGTCAGGGCGCGTAGTGAGGATGAGCAGCTTTCCAAGGTTGCCTTTGCATCCTTGCCCCTTTGGTTTCCGGTACCCTTGCATCTTCCCGTCAACACGGCCTGACAAGGCCCTTGCACCCTTACCGCGCATTCTTCTTATACGCCTTGACTGTACCTCGGCAGAGGCCTGTTATGATCGATTCAAGTCTACACTGTGTGAACATTTTCTTCGATGCGGCCCGAGTCAGGTCTGTTTCAGCACCGCGGGCTATCGCAACCGCACATATAGAATATGGATGGCACTGCGCTCGCTCACACAGCGCCTCTCCGAGCCCAAATGGTCACGGAGGCGTAACTCCACTCTCTTGGCAATACGTTGCAAGATCTGTCAAATCATGGCGCAATCGAGCTAGAATGAAAGACGTACGCATGGGCAGCAAAGGAAGGACGGATGGAAGGACCAAATAATCGGGCGCTGGGCGAGGGATGGCAAATCCGTGGCTGCTAAAACGGTCTTCCGGAAGGAGAGCAACAAGTTACCGGAATCAAATTCGGCGCGCTAAATAGTAAACGGGCTGCTTCCCGGAAGAGAAACAATTTCCCAGAGCTCCGTGTTAGCAGCCACGGGTTTGCCAGCCTTCGCCTGGCTTTGAAAGAACCCACCAACCGAGAAAAAGACACCGATACCGCTGCTCGTTCAGTCCTCGTCACCACGGCTGGATCCGCTTCGAATTTCTGGTCAGAACGCACCCCGCGAGAGGTCTGAGGAGTGGTGGTATCGGTACGTTTTTTGCTCCCCCTCCCCATATCTGGGCGTCCGAATTGGGTACGGAACACGTGGGTACAATGCAAAACAACAAGTGTTGTCCAAAACCGACAGCGGCCGCTGTTGGGCAGGCGGCTATGTCTTCAAAGAACAACGTCCGCGGCGGCGAGAACAGCAAGTCTGATTTGAAATGAACAAGAGCTGCTGTTGGGCATCGTACTCCGAGTCTCTTCGTAAGCGTCGGGGGGGCGTCATCCCCGCCGACAGCCCCACATCGACCCCCGTCGCGGGCAGCCACCGCGCGCCGCAGGCGCTCCGACCCCCTGTCGCGGCGCGACGACGATGCGAGGCTGACCCCCGTCGGCGGGGTGCCCTGCCATGCTTATTCAGGAACCCAGAGAGCACACCTCGATCATCTCAACCGTACACGCACGAAGAGGACCGAGGCTCGTCTCGTCGTCTTCGGCGCACGTGGGCCGCCCGCGGGCCCCCCTGGGGCCGTCGGGCGTCGGTCTGGGACGCAGGCCTGGCCCCCGGGGGGCCCCGGGAAGGGGCCCAGACGTCAATCCTGAGCGGGCCTCGTCGAGGGGCGTGGGTCTGCGAGGAGGCCACATGCGAACCCGACCCCACCCTCCCGCGGTTTCTAAGGGGGGAGGCGGGGTTCACATGTGGCCTCCTATCTACGCCAGACGGGGTCGGAGTAGATCGGGTCAGAGTATCGCGGCGCATCGCCGACGCATCGGCCATGCGGCTCGATGGGACGCCCGATCTTCTCCACGCCGACGGCGCCGATGCATCGCCGGCGTCGCCGATGCATCGGCGATGCATCGAAGATGTGTCTGCGATGCGGCGCGATCCTCTGACCCCATCTGCTCGACTCCACTTGGGAGGCCTCTAATGGGTGGGATCGCCAGCAGCGAACATGATCCACGCCCACGCCGACGATCGACAACGATTACAACAATAATAACGATCACAACGATAACACGATAACACGGTAATGATAATGATAATGATAACGATCACAACGATCACAACGATCACAACGATCGCAACGATCACAACGACAACGATCACAACGATCAACGACAACGATCACAACGATAACATAACCCAGCGTTGACTCCAAATAGGTAGGAGGACAGGAGGAGGACGAGAGGAGGATGGGAGGAGGACGAAAGCAGGACGGGAGCAGGACCGGAGGAGGACGGGAGGAGCAAAATCAAGCAAGCGCAAGTAAGCAAACAGAACACGCAAGCGCAAGCGAGCAATAACAAGCAAGCAAGAGCCAGCGATCAAGTGCAAGCAACCAAGGGCAAGCAAGAGCAATCAAGCGAGAGCAAGCACGCAAGAGCAAGCAAGCAAGTGCAATTGGAAAAAGGGGGGGTGCCATTGGAAAAAGGGGGGGCATTGGGAAGAGGGGGGGTCCCAAAGACCAGTTACTTATGATGGAGCTAGGACTCCTATGGGGCAAGCCTATTCGGAGACCAGCGATGACAACGATGGCAGCGCTGACGCGGTCTGGATGCCGAGGCGCGATTCCCTGGGCACGCGATCCCGTGGACGCGCGTTCTGCGCGGGGCGTGCGCGCAGAGGCCGCCCCGCCTCCGCGGGGCTGCGCGGCCCGGGACGCCCTGGCCGCGAGGGCCTCGGGGGCGAGGAGAGCGGGGGCCCCCCGCCGCCCTCCCGGAGAGGCCGCCCGCGCCGCGCGCATCGCGGAGCTCGAGGCGGAGGTGGCCGCGCACGCGAAGCGCAACGCCGAGCTGAACACGGTGATCCAGTCCGTCCAGGACGCCGGGCGGGCGGCAAGCAAGCAACGCATGGGAAGTGTGGGGGGGGGGATGGGAAAGACGAGAACCCAGAAAATAGGGGTCCATATGGGGAATCCTGTTGTTCGTGTCTGCTTGTTTGTGTGTGTCCCAGGGCCCCTTCGCTTTTGGCGCTCCGCACGGAGGTCTCGGATCCGCGCTGGGCCCCCCGCGGCGGCGCGCCCGGGGAGGGGGGTCCAGCGCGGATCCACGAGATCCGCGCAGAGCGCCAAAAATTTATGCTCTTGCCGTCCTTTCTTCTTGAGAACGAGCGGCGAGCGGACGGATATCGGAAACTGGAACAAATACATTACCAGTGGCGGGTTTTGTCTCAATCCCACGACTTCTTGAGGGGCAGGGACGACGTCGGTGTGGTGTGGTGTATGCTTCTCCCCAGTTTTCCAATGGAAACAGCGACAAATGTATACACCAGGATCCCGTATACACCAGGATCCGCGTTCCTGTGCGAATTTCAGCGCAGGGTCGGACAAAGCGTCGGTGTATAGAGCTTGTTTCCCTACAACAGGGCGACACAGGCCAGCCTCGTTGTACCCGCTCCCATCCCCCGTGGGCCACGCGGTATCCCAGCCCCGCCAGATGATCAGATAAAGGTCCTAACCGTCTTCCCGTCTCCGGGTTCGGGGTTCCTGGTTTCGGGTTTTGGGTTTCTTGCTCCAGTTCCGGGTTCCGGATTCCCGGTCAGGATTCCGTGTTCCGGGTTCCGGGGTCCAGATTTTGGATTCCGGGTTCGGGATTTCGAGTTTTGGGTTCAGATTCCGAATTCCGTGTTTTGGATTCCGCATTTCGGAGTCGGGATTCCTGAATCGGTTCCGGGTTTTGGGTTCTGGGTTCCAGGTTCGGGGTCCTGGGTTCTGGGCCGGGTTCGAGTTTCGATTTGCGGGTTTTGGGTTTGTTGTTCCAGGTTTCAAGTTCGGGTTCCGGGTTCCGGGTTCCGGTTTTTGGGTTTTGGGTTCGGGGTTTCGAGTTCCAGGTCCCGGCCTCCGATTTCCGAGTTGCAGATTCCGGATTCCTGAATCTGGGTTTTGGGTTCCGGGTTTCGGGTTCTGGGTTTCGGGTTCCAGGTTCCGGGTTCCAGGTTCTGGGTTCTGGGTTCTGGGTTCCGCGTTCCGGGTTCCGGGTTTTGGGTTCCGGGGTCCGAGGTCCGGGGTTTGGGGCCCGGGTTCCGGGTTCGGGGTTTTTGGGTTTTGAGTTTTGGGTTCGGGTTCGGGCGTTTGGGTTCGGGCTCTGCGGACGCTGCAGTTCGGGCCTTCGGTGGACCTCCTCGTGGGGCCACGAAACGTGTGAGGGGTGTGCCAGAATGGACCTGAGAAACCATGCGGATGCTGCCACTTGGGCCTTCGGTGGACCTCCTTGTGAGCCACGAAACGTGAAAGGGGTGTGCCAGAATGGACCCGAGAAACCATGCGGACGCTGCCACTTGGGCCTTCGGTGGACCTCCCTGTGGGGCCACGAACCGTGTGAGGGGTGACCCGAGAAACCATGCGGATGCTGCCACTTGGGCCTTCGGTGGACCTCCCTGTGGGGCCACGAAGCGTGCGAGGGGTGTGCCAGAATGGACCCGAGAAACCATGCGGACGCTGCCACTTGGGCCTTCGGTGGACCTCCCTGTGGGGCCACGAACTGTGTGAGGGCTGACCCGAGAAAGGACCCGAGAAACTGTGCGGATGCTGCCACTTGGGCCTCTGGTGGACCTCCCTGTGGGGCCTCGAACCGTGTGAGGGGTGACCCGAGAAACCATGCGGATGCTGCTACTGCTGCTGCTGCTGCTGATGGTGATGATGATGATGATGATGAGGAGGAGGAGGAGGATGATGAGGATGTGTGCTGAGTGTGCTGACTACATGGGGCAGGGCCCCCTCTCCGCAGAGCATCAGGCCTATCACTCGGCAGGCTCCTCAAACAATTCTGGCTCCCCCCTCCCCAGGGATCTGGAAAAGTCCACCACAGCCGAAAGGGAATCAACACCGTGCAACAGAGCGACCTGCCTGTCGTCTAGCTGCGGCACGCTAGTGCCATACTTGACCTCAAAGGCCGCTGGAGCACTCACCGACTGTTCGTCCCCACCTCCTGCCTCCTGCCCCCGCACGCCTCCAGCGAGGGAGGGGAAGCGGGTGGCCGAGGCCTCGATGTCCACACCTGAGGGGGCGCGGACGTCCACGATCCTCGCCTTCAGGCGCCTTGGCACGAGCCCTTGGCGGAGGAGGGAACGCTGAGTCCGCAGTCCTGGGGCCTCCCTCCCACGGGACACCCCGTCCAGCCCCTCACCTGACCGAACATTCTTATGCACCGAGGACCCGCAGACTTTACAAAATAGAACATCTGGCTCGGGTTCCGCCCTCTCAGCAAGGGCACAGACGACGCCTTGACGACCGAGTGACGATTGAAAGCCCAAGGCGTCCCAGAGCACTCCTGAAGCCTCATCACCTCCCGCAGCTGCAGCAGACGGGGAGGAACGAGAGGGCGGCGGCGGCGGAGGAGGCGGCAGGGAGGCCGAGGACGCAGATCCCCCGACAGGAACCACTCCTGGGGCCTCCGCAAACGGCTCCATCCCCTCCTCACAAGCCGCATTGGCCAGGGGCTCCCACTCGAAAGGGCTGAGCTCGAATGTGTTATCCGAGGTCCCAACAACCCCATCAGAGTCGACGAAACCCCCATCAACCATCAGCTGTTGGGCCCTCGCATGCCATCTCGAGACATCGTGGGCCATGGCCTCGACCCCCTGTACAAAGGCGATCTGCTGTGGGGGGGGGGACCGACCACCTCAGAGCACCTTTTTTCGCCCAGCGGTCCGCCATCTGATTGCCGAGGATCAGCCAATCATCTTCAAAGCTGGTGGCCGAGGAGCGCGCACGATGCGCCTTGACCTTTACAACAGACGCCTGGTGGCCGATCCCTTCACACCAGCGGACCCAAGAGTGCCCTCTAGAATTCATGGGGTCGAGCGCCACGCCTGGATTCACCGCACACTCAATCGAACCCGCACAGTCTGAGTAAAATGTGAGGGGATCTTCTGCGAAGGAGGAGGAGGAGGGATGGAGTGAATGAGACGCGCGGCGCTGCGAATTCAAAACGAGGACCCAACACACAGGAGGGTTCGGGAAAAACAGTGATAAAAGCTCACATTTGTTAAAGAACTTGAGTTTTTCATGCAAGCAAGCACTTGAGTCCTCTTATGATCACACTTTGAGTGTTGCAGTCACACTTTTTGTCACACTTGATCCGACGTTGCGCTGAAAAATCAGCGGGGGCCCCGGACCCCGTCTTTCCGCGGCATCTCTCCAGCCGCATTGATCCGTGATGGCCCCTGGGCCCGAAGCTGGGTGAGGCCGCCCGGGGTGCAAAGGTGGCACCGCCAGGACCTCGGGGAGTCCCCGCCCCCCCCCCTTCGCGCCACCCCTCCGGGGGGGCGCCGCCGACCCTCTCGTGCGAACGACTGCAGATCGCCCAGACCGCTGGGACCGTGGGAGGCCTGGGCTCAGGAGGGAAAGAAACACACAGACACAATTAATCGTCGATTCCCCAGAAAATATAGGAAAATGTGGCAAGTGGGGGGGAAGACAAAAACCCAGAAAACATGGGAAAACATGGGGAATCCTTTGATTTGTGTGTATCTATTTGTGTGTCCCAGGGCCCCTTCATGGGCGCCCTCCAGGACAGGGAGAAGCGCATCGCGCAGCTCGAGAGGGCCCTGGTCGCGCCCAGCGCGCCGGTGAGCCCCCACGCGCTGGGCCCGGGCGGGCGGGCCGCCCCGGGCGGCACCGGCCCGCCGTCGGCCTGGAGCGCGCCCGCGGCCTCGCCGCTGAGCCCGCTGCCCCAGCTCGGCGGCTCGCAGCCCGCGGGCACGGGCGCGCAGATCGGCGGCGAAATCCGAAGCCCACCCTCGCCGATGCAACGATTCGTGGCGACGCGCCGCAGCCGATGCGCGGCGGAGTCGAGCCACGGTCTTCCAGGCGAAGCATTCCCCGTGCAGTCGAAAACGGTCTGTTGGCAACGGTCCGCGCGACCCTGCGGAAGAAACAGGTTTTGGATGAATCCTTTCTGCGCGCTGGTCAGAGCTGATCGATGGTCTAGGCTTCCTAGATGGGGTCCGAGTAGATGGGACCGAGGCTTCACAAATGCGGCTCGATGTGGAGCCCGGTTTTCTCCACGCCGGCTTCGCCGATGCACCGCCGCTGGCGATGCCGCGCGATCCTCCGACCCAATCTATAATCGGCCCAGATTAGTAGGTCGACCCTGCCAGCTCAAGGGTACCCTTGTGTCCTGTGCCTCGCGACACGTGCCTTCTTACACTCCTATTGCGATGTGGCCCTCGGAAGGGTCTTGTGTCCTCTCGCGTGTCCTGTCCAATCAAGGCCGACTGTATTCGGACCCCTATCAGGGCGGCCTCTGGGTGGGCGGCGGGGTTAGGTTTCGGAGTTCGTCGAACACGTGACGAAACCCGAACCCCGAACCCCGCCTCCCATCGATCCAGGATTATCGATGGTTGGTCGGGGTAGGATTCGGATGTCGCCACCTATCAGAGGAGGAAACCGATACAGTAGGTTCGCGTCGTGTTGGCTAGCGGCGATCCCGCCGCCGGCGTTCGACGTGGAGCGCCGCCGGCGACCCAGAGTCGGTCGGTGTTGAACGATCTGACGTTTCGGAAACGGCCGATCTCTCAAGGTTGAGCGATCCCCGCGGTGTCAGAAACCAACGCCTGGGTCGACACGGCACGAACCTGTCGTATTGGTCAACCAATCCCCATGCCCACCAGGCCATGGCATCTCAGCCCCACCATCCCACCCCCCAGTTGGGGATTGAAGCCCACATCCCCAACAAGGGATATGAATCGGCAGCTGGGGCCGAAACCACGTCAGTGGGGATAGGGAACGGGCTCCCCGGGAGGCCCTCCGCTGAGATGATCTGATGTTGCGGGAAATCGCAGCGCCGCGAAACGTCGCGACCGGAGCTTCGCACTCTGCCTGCATCTTGCGGGCCAGATTGACCTGTGATGGCCCCTGGCCCGAGACGGGGCGAACACGCCAGGTGTTGGAAAAAATGCAGCGCCAGGATCTGCTTTGAAGTCTGTGTCAGAGAGTACTGGTTGACCCACAGGGGGGTCCAGCTACAAGGGGGTGGTGCAATATATCCGTAAGGGCTTCGCCCCCTGCCGCCGGCCCCCTCTCTCAGAGAATGGGCCATGGAAGAGCTAAGTCATGAGGCTTTGGCGCTGTCGTGCAGCAGTATCGGAACTTCATGCGAGGCCGATTCGCAATCGGCAAAACCAACTGATCACAAGAGGGGTTACCACACAGGGCGATTGGTAAGACGTGTATGGTTTACGAGCTTGGTTACCACACCTTGGGATTAAAGGGCCGAGGGAGTACTCGCAGTTTGGGTTACCACGCCTTGCGATGGATGTGCGTGAGGGGTGGCACCGAATTTCAGAAATGTGGCAAATCCCCTGTGTTTTTGGACCCTGACCCCGCGGATCTGCGTGAGGGGTGGCACCGAATTTCAGAAATGTGGCAAATCCCATGTGTTTTTGGACCCTGACCCCGCGGATCTGCGTGAGGGGTGGCACCGAATTTCAGAAATGTGGCAAATCCCATGTGTTTTTGGACCCTGACCCCGCGGATCTGCGTGAGGGGTGGCACCGAATTTCAGAAATGTGGCAAATCCCATGTGTTTTTGGACCCTGACCCCGCGGATCTGCGTGAGGGGTGGCACCGAATTTCAGAAATGTGGCAAATCCCTTGTGTTTTTGGACCCTGACCCCGCGGATCTGCGTGAGGGGTGGCACCGAATTTCAGAAATGTGGCAAATCCCATGTGTTTTTGGACCCTGACCCCGCGGATCTGCGTGAGGGGTGTCGATTTCGAGCCCCCCCAGCAATTCAGACAACGCGCCCAGGGGTGCTAAAAATCCCGTTTGGGCCTCCCCCCCCCTCGCGCGGTCAATCAACTAGTTACAGTAACCAGCAAGAAGTCAACTAGTTACAGTAACCAGCAAGAAGCAGAACTGTAACACTGGAAACTACAAACTACAACTGGTACAGGAAACTGCGAATCACGCGCCTCGCAGCCTGGTGGCCCCACAAGGGGGCAGGCGGATCTGGTACAACAGATTTGTGCGCTGCAATAGATTTTGGGCGTGCAACATATGCCTGGGCGCAAATGCATTGCCGGAGGTTCGCGTGGAATACATTGGTTGCAATACAATGCGACACAATTGTCCAGCGCAGTACATGTGTCCCAAATCTACTGCACCACCCCTTTTCAGCTGGACCCCCGTTCGGGTCAACCATACATGTGCGCCCCAGGAGAGGCCTGGGGAACACCGGTGTCGGTGCCTTTTTGACTCTCCCCAGGCGCGGGCGAGCCCTCGGCGCAAGGCGCCGCGGGCTCCCGAGGCTCATGGCATGAACGAAATATTTGGATTTTTCTTTGGTTGGTTCGACCAATGAGCAGATTTCGGCGCTCTCGATGTCGCGGATGGATGCTTCTAGCAGGCGGAAGAGTTCTGTGGCTGCGGAAGATCTCGATCACAGGGCCAACACGCAATGAGCTTGCGGAGCTCCGCGCGAAGTTCTTTCCTTGGCGGGACCCACCCCCCCGGCGGCGATTCCGAGCGCCTTCCCCCGACTCCCCTGGCGCGTTCCGCGCGCCAGGGAAGGGGAGCTCAGCGCCGATCCCAGAAATCTGCGCGGAGCTTCGAAAGTTTGTGTTCCAGGGGAGAAAATAGACACAACCGTAAAGAATCTCTGATGTCTCTTAGAATTATTGGAACATGGTGGAAGAAGACAATCCAGGGAGGAGTATGGCAAGATATCGGGAATCCAGGAATCCATGGTGATCGCTTTCTTACTCTTGTTATTTTGCCGATCTGCGCAGGCCCTCGCACCCCCTCCCCCCCCCATGGAGTAGATCTTGGCTGTTGTCTGCGCCTGTCTCAAGCAGGTGGAGTCTCCCCCCTAGGACGCACTGTTGCAAACAGTCGCAGTAAGCAGAGGTCGGGAGCCAGACGCCCCTCTCCCCCCCCCTTCCGCCCAATGTCGACACGCTGAAGCAGAAACCGTTCACATGAGCGACGCAAAAAAACGGGGTCGTCTGCGCCGACATTGGCGCGTAAGTTGCCCGCGTGAGGTCGCGCGTAAGCCGTCTCCAACGTAGCGTGCCGCGCTGGCGGCTCGCGCAAGCCGCCGCGTAAGGTCGCTGTGTCATCTCGCGCAAGATTTCTTTTCTGATCGTCGCCCGCATGTCTATCTCAGGAAGTGCAAAGGTGCAAACAGTCGCAGGAAGCAGAGGTCCGGAGCCAGATCCCCCCCTTCCCCCATCCCCGTCCGCCCACTGTCGACACGCCGAAGCAGAAACCGTTCACATGAGCGACGCAAAAAAAACGGGGTCGTCTGCGCCAGCATTGGCGCGGAAGTTGCCCGTGCAAGATCGCGCGTAAGCGCCCTCGTCTCCAACGTAGCGTGCCGCGCTGGCGCGCAAACCGCCGCGTAAGGTCGCTGTGTCATCTCGCGCAAGACCCCTTTTCTGATCGTCGCTCACATGTCTGCTGGTTTGTGTCTCCCTTCCCTCTCGTCATCGCCGGGCGTCCTCCTCCCCCGCCCTCGTGCACCGCGGCCTGATTCGCGGCCGTTTACCTCACCAACGCCCTCTCCGCCAGCGCAGTCCCTCTGCCTCGCCGCCGACGGAGCAAAGTCTGTGCCTCCCTGGGGCCAGGAAGCAGAGGTCCGGAGCCGGACCCCCGCCCCCCCTCCCCCCCTCCCCTCCGCCCAATGTCGACACGCCGAAGCAGGAAATGCTCACGTGTCTACCTGTTTGTGCCTCCCGGGGGGCCCCTTCGCCGTCCTGCGCGCGGTTCTTTTTGCTCTCTTCTCCCAGGCTCGGCGGCCGCGCCCGCGGCGCAGCCTGCGCCCGCGTCGGTGGAGGCCGCCTCGGGTCCCCGGACATCCGTCGCGCCGTTTTTTTTGTTTTTGTTTGTTTTGTTTTTTTTGTTGGGTGTGTGTTTTATTTTTATGTTTTTTTTGTTTCTCCTCTCACGAAGTGGACCCCAGAGGTCTGGACCCTCTGGGCCTCCCAGATGGGGTCCGAGCAGATTCGAAGAAGAAGCCACGGCATGACCAGAAACTGTTGGTGCTCTGCGCGAGTTTCTTGGATCCGCGCCTGGCCCCCCCCCAAGCGGCGCCTCTGGCGCCGCCCGTAGAAATCCGCGCGGACCTCCGAAAGTTTATGTTTGTGTCGTTTTTTGTTCCTCTATAGATGGGGTTCGGAGGATCGCGTCGCATCGCCGATGCATCGCCGATGCAGCTCGATGGTGGAGCCCCCTTGTCTCGGCACCGATGCACTGGCGACGTCGCCGATGCGGCGCGATCCCCCGACCCCATCTACTCGGACCCCATCTGGGAGGCCTCCAACCCCTTCCCCAGGACAGGCTCCTCACCCCGCGAGAAGTTTTTTGATGGTGCCGGGTCCCTGCAATTCGACGCAACTCTTGGGAGGTCTGATTCAGAATCCTCGCTGATCTATCCGTGGTCGAGAACTTGCCTGATCAGGGCTACTTCTGCTCAATTACGCTGAATCCCGTGTCATACAGTCCAATGCGGCTTGATCCTGGGCCTGCTCCGGCTAAATCGGGCTTAGTGGGCCCTGAAGCGGGCTCAATTCACCGAGCGCGTTCCGCTACTCGCAAAGTGCCTACTCGCAAACGTCCGAAAACACATGTCTTCCTATGTAAAACAGCGTGGATCCCCCGCAGCAGATTCAGGCCATTTGCGAGTAGCTACTTTGCGAGTAGTGGAACGCGCTTGTCGATCAATAGTAGCCCTTGCTCGCTCTTGCGACGAAGACCTCCCAGGAGCTGCCCAGAGGCCCCCCGAGGCCGAAACAGTACCGAGCGCTGTCCGTCGCGTATCTGCACGGCGCGAGGGCCCTGGGCTGTCTGTTTGGACGGCCCCGGGGCCCGGCAGGGGGGCCCCCGGGGGCCGAACAGGGCAAAGGCGTGCGATCTGAGGCACGCAGACTTGCCAAGCTCGAAGGCGACAGAGCAGCGTGAGCATCAGCTTTCTGGCGCTCCGCGCGCATTTCCTGGATCTACGCTGGGACCCCCCGGCGGCGCCTCCAGCGCGGCCGCTGGCGCGCACCCCGCGCGCCAGGCAAGGTGGTCCAGCGCAGGCCCAAGAAACCCGCGTGGCAGGGCCGCCCACGATCCGATTCGATGCCGTTCGATTCTCGCCGGCTGGGGCCGCGAATCCGATTCGATTCGCGTTCGTTCTAGCCAGTGGCGTGGGCCAGGGCCAGCCAGAGCCCCTCGCGGCGATCCGATTTCGATCCGATTCGGGGCGATAAGCTGGCGATGCGAGCCAGTTCCTATCCGAGGCGACTTCGCGATTCGATCCAGCGCAGGCCTGCGTGGACCTCGAAAAGCGGTTTGTGCTCTCGGTGCTCGCTGGCAGTGTGGTACAGCGGAGCTGCCAGGTCGTGCACCGAGCTCTGCTTCGTACATGACGCGTGCTGGGTAAAGCTCGAGGCGCGCAGCCTCGTTTGGGCTGTCGCCTCGTCATCCATCTGGCCCTTCTCCCTCCTCCTCGTCTCCTCCCTTCTTGCACTGAAAAGTTTATGTTCATGCTGTTTTTTTGTTTTTTGTTTTGTTCCTCTTTTTCCGTCGCGATTCTGCGCTTAAGTCGGGCCCGTCCCTCCGCAGGAGGCATATTCAAACACAGTAGAGAGACATAGCCAGGGGCTTATCTTTTGGGTCTTTGTCCGATCATGTTTTGAGTATCTTGAGTGTTTCTCGTTTCTTCTTTTTCGCCGAAGATCCCCCTGTAGGGGGACACGCCCGACTTCATTCTGCGCGGCGCGAGGGCGCCGCGCGCCCGCCCCCCGGCGGAGGCCGTCGCCGGGCGCTCCTCCGCGGCCACGCCGCTGCGGTGGCCGGCCGAGGGCACGCCCCGGCAGGCGTCGCCCATGCGGCTCTCGGAGCACGCAGGTGGCGGCGGCGCCCCCGAGCCTCGGGGGGCCTGGGAGAGGTAAAACGACGCTAAGATCGGGATAAAATCGGATCGGGATAACTCGAAATCTCTGAGAATCGGCGGGTTTGGAGGGCGTTCCGGAACGCTCTGAGAGCGCTCCGGAACGCTCTGGAGCGATTTATCCCGATCCTAGCCCTGTTTTAAGAGGGGGGGCCTGGGAGAGGGGGGGTCACGAAATCTGCTGCGTGCAGCTGGCTTCGGCCCCGCCGCCGGACCCATTCCTCGATGCATGGGCGCCTCCCGGCGCCGGGAGGCGCGGGGAGAGTCAGTTATAGTTGCGTGAGCTGATTTTTCACCCCCCCCCCTTTGCTATCCCCTCTTTCGCCCGACCCGAGAGTCAAGGGAGGAAAACGGCATGAGCATACTCCGAGTTTCTTCATGAGCGTCGGGGGGGAGTCGCCCCCGCCGATAGCCCCCACATCGACCCCCATCGCGGGCAGCCGCCGCGCGCCGAAGGCGTTTCGACCCCCGTTGCGGCGCGACGGCGAGGCGAGGTGGACCCCCGTCGGGTCGGGGGGTATCCCCCCACGCTGATTAAGAAACCCAGAGTAAACTTTTGGCGCTCCGCGCGGGTTCCTTGGATCCGCGCTGGGTCCCCCGGGCGGCGCATCCGGCGCCGCCCCTGGCGCGTTCCGGGAGCCGGGGAGGGGGGTCCAGCGCAGATCCCAGAAGTCCGCGCGGAGCGCCAAAAGTTTACGTTTATGCCGTTTTTTGTTCCTCCACCCAGAGGAGATGGGCGCGAGGGGGGTCAGCCACGTGCAGAGGGGGGGTATAGGGGGAGGGGGGAAGGCTTTTTCGAAGCACCTTGCGTGCGAGAAGGCGCGGGCCTTGTTTCTAGATGTAGGGTTAAGTAGGGCCCATCCCTCTACAGGAAGAATATCTATTTTTGTGTGACATGTTTTGATTCTTTTTGGGACTATTCTTTGAGTTTTTACAGTTTTTCGTCCAGATTTCGCCCGTAGGAGGACATGCCCGACCTAAATGAAGGGCTCGGCGCCTTCGAAGAAGCAGCCTCCTGCGAAGCCTTCCCCCCTCCCCCCTGCGCGCCAGGGAGGGGCGAAGGTCCCCTGATATCCTGGCGCTACAATCTTTTCACACCGCGCCTTTTTTCGGGCGAAGAGAACTATGCACATGCACCGATCCTGACAACGTCCATCCTTGACCCAGGATCGGTGCATATACCTTCCTGACCAAGGTAGAGGGCGTATGCACCGATCCTGGGCTCAGGATGGGCCTGGCCAGAGTCGGTGTATGTGCATAGTTCTCTTCCCTCTATTTTTCGTCTGGTGCCGGGCCCGGGGGACCTCACGGGTCATTGCCGCTCGAGGTGTGCAGCAGACGGGTGGGAATCTACGGCTCTGGCCGTGATCTCCTGCAGTGCAGGCGGTCCTTCCGCGGCGTCGGCCCTCGGGGCTCTGAGAAGGCCGGGGAGGCTTCTCCAGAGGGCACGGGGCCTGCCTCGAAGGGCCCGGCGGCTTCTGCGAGGGCTTCGGAGAAGCCGCGGGCCCTTGTGAGAGGACTCCTGCCTTCTGAGGATCAGGAGGGGAAAAAACACAGACGCAATGAATCGTCGGTTCCCAAGGAAATATGGGAAAATATGGGAAATGGGGGGGAACACAAAAACCCAGAACATATGGGAAAATATGGGGAATCCTATTATTAGTGTGTATTTATTTGTGTGTCCTTGGGCCTCTTGAAAGGAGCCCCTCCGCCTTGTCAGAAGGCCGATCCCCTCGTGCCAGCCGCTCTTGGGGTGCCGCCAGAGGTGGGCCCCAGCGCGCGGTGTCGCCGATGCGCGTGGTGCAGGTGTTCAGCACGCAGGCCAGGGTTGCGGAGGAGAAGATGCCGCTGTCGCGCCCCGCCCCAGATAACCGACGTTATGTATGCATGTATGCATATATGCATGTATGCATGTATGCATGTATGCATGTATGCCTGTATGCATGTATGCATGCGTGCATATGTGCATGTATGCATGTATGTATGCATGTATGCATGTATGATATCATGCATGTATGTATCTATGCATGTATATGTGTAAACATGTATGTTTGCATGTATGTTTGCATGCATGCATGCATGCATGCATGCATGTATGCCTGTCTGGTAGGAGGACACGCCCGACCTGACAGAAGCCCTCCCAGCCGCTGAGGCGTCCTCTCCGAAGACTCGGGGCCCTTCTCGGACCCTCAGATCCGACGCAGCGAACAAGCTGCAACCTCGTGAAGAGTCACGGCCAGGGCCCCAGGCCCAATCGCAGCCCGCGGGCACAGGCGCTCAGTCTCTGCCTCTTGGAGGCCCCCCTGGGGGCCTGCCGGCGGTCTCGGGGGGCCCTCTTCTGGGGAACTGGCCCCACATCTCCTGCCCCCAGTCCCCCCTCCCTCCTCCCCCTCTTCTCGCTCGCCCCCCCCCCCCCCCCTTGATTCAGCCCGCGAGCACGGGCGCGGCCCGACACCGCTGCCGTTGTCTCGTTCTCGCCTTTTTTGGGCCTGGGAGGCCCTCCCCGGAGATCCGGCGTTGCGAAGCATCGCGACATCGTGACAACCACGGCCAGACCTCTGGACCCCATCCTCTGCGGCATCCTGTCGAGCCAGATCGTTTTGTGATGGTCCAGGGACCCGAAGCCAGGCGAAGCCGCCCGGCGTGAAAAAATTGTACCGCCTAGATCTCAGGTCGGCGGCGAGCGAGGGGGTGGAAAATGAGGAGGAGACGGCCCTCTCAGAAGGCGGCGGGACTTCTCAGAAGCCGTCGCGCCTTCTCATATTTTTTCGGTGAAGGTTCAGAAAACTTCTCAGAAGGCCCGGGGGACTTCCGAGCCTTCTTAGAAGGCCTTCTCCTTCTCACTTCCCCCCCTCGCTCGCCGCCAACCAGGGGAATGCCGCCCCCCTCTTCGCCCATCCCCCCTGTGCCACGCCGCCTGGAGCCGCGGCCCGCCCCGTCGGCTCCACCTCCCACCGCTACTCCGCCCTGACAGCTCCTCGTCGTCGTCCTCCTCCTCGTCATCCTCCATCTCCTCCGCCCTCCTCCTCATCCTCCTCCTCCTCGTCTTCCTCCTCCTCGTCTTCCTCCCTCCTCCTCCTCCTCCTCCTCCTCCTCCCTCCTCCTCCTCCTCCTCCTCCTCCCTCCTTCTCCCTCCTTCCTCCTCCTCCTCGTCCTTCTCCTCCTCTTCCCTTCTTCTCCCTCCTCCTCCTCCTCCTCCTCCTCCCTCCTCCCTCTTCCTTCTCCTCCTCCTTTTCTTCCTCCTCCTCCTCCTCCTCCATTCTCTTTCCTTGCGAATAATTCCTCCCTCTCGCACCCCGAGACCAGTCGGAAGGGCTGGCCGGGTGTTTCGCCTAAGATTTCCTTACCATCTGTGAGCCTGAAGCAAAAAATGGCAATAGTTTTACAGATGGAGGGCGGGTCGCTTCCATAATGTGGCTCACGCCTCAGCGCCGCGCGCATCCGTATAAAGCACTGCAAGAGTTTCACTGATTGAGGGCGGATCGTTTCCAAAGTATGGCTCTCGCCTCAGCGCCGCGCACATTCGTGAAAAACAGAGTTTCACGGATTGAGGGCGGGTCGCTTCCAGAATGTGGCTCTCGCCTTAGCGCCGCGCGCATTCGTTCGAACAAATGGGAGGAGAGCTCTCGCCTTGGCGCCGCGCACAATCGTAAAACAAACTGCAAGAGTTTCATTGGTTCTCATGGTTAACGCACCAGAAATGGCGTTACGCAGCGATTCAGGACTGTCAGGGCGCAAAAGTTCCGTTGATTCGCGGTGCTGGATTTCCAGGAATGGCGTTCTGGCACGATTCAGGATCGTCAAGACGCAACAGTCAGGTTGACTCGTGGCGTTGAAGTCCTGAGAATGGTGTTCTGGCACGCGTCAGGATTTTCATACGATTGTCCCCAACGGGACACTTCCCTCAGTGGAAATGAATCCTTGTAGGAGCCTATGAGTCTTAGGTTTGCACTGGTCCTCCTCCGCCTCCTCCTCCTCCTCCTCCTCCTCCTCCTCCTCGGGCCGGGCGTGTGTGCCTCTTGCTGCTCCCCCGGCCAGGGCGCCCCTGGGAGGCAGTCCGCCGTGTCCCCGATCCGGGTCCTCGGCACGCGGGACGGCCCTGTCCGGGAGTCCGTCCGGGAGATCCGCCGCGAGGTGGGCGACGCAGAAACACGGGCTCGTCTGGGGCAGTGACGTGGGGGGGGGGGGACTGCCAGGGGAAGCGTTCACAGTCGACGATGGGGGCGAATAGCCCAGGGGGGAGCAATACATGTATCCAGGGGCGCCGATGATTTATGTCTTCGGCAAGGCTCCCGGGCGAATGCGTGGAATGCCCGCCCTTGGGCTATTCGCCCTTGTCGTCGCCTCCGAAGTGTCGGGCTTGCGGTTCGAGGTTTTCTGATGTTTTTTGGTGGGTTCTCGAGGTGCCCGTCGGTGGACTCCCCCGCTGGAGAGAGGCGCTGCCCGTGCCTTTCTGGAGAAGGCTTCTTAGGCAGCTTCTCGAAGGGCCCGATGGCTCATCCCGTGTCGAGGGCTCGCATCGGGCAGCGACAGGGGGGGATATGGGCTCAGGTGCGGACGCAGCGACCCCCGATCGCCCACAGTGATCGCCGATGGGGGCCCGAGCGCCCGCCCCGCCCGAGGAGCGCGCGGGGGGCCCCTCGCCGAGCTATCGGCGAGGTGTCGCCGGTCCGAGGTCGATGTTCCGCCCCCTCCTCAGGGCCAGTTCCCTCCTACACGCTGGTCGTGGAAAGTAGGTAATTCTGGATTCCCAGAACCCAATCTATTTCAAGCGCCTTCCTACTTCAAAAATCGATGGTTTGGCTGCTGCTTGTTATTCTTTGGGCGGGCCCGAACCCAATCTACTTGATCCGCCTTCCTACTTCATGTTTCTTCCTACTTCTTCCGACCGGCGTGTATCCTTGCTCCTCAGGTCGGCTCGAGGAAGAAACAGCGCCATAAGCATAAACCTTCGACCGTCCGCGCGGACTGCTTGAATCTGCGCGGGCCGTCGAAAGCTCATGCTTGTGCGGTCTTCTCTTCCTCTATCGACTGCGCGGACATTCGCGCGTAAGCCGCCTGCGCACGGTCGCGCGTGCGCGTCCTCGTTTCCAGCGCAGCGTACCGCGCAGGCGGCCCGCGTAAGCCACCGCGTAAGGTCGCTATGACGTCTCGCGTGAGACCCGTCTCTTTTCTTGGAGGCCTAGAGGCTGACACTAATACCAACAATGGCGGTGTGCCTCCACCCATGGAAGATGCTCCCGATCTCGGTGCTGGCGGTAGTATTCGGGCTTCCCAGGACGCCAGAGCATTGCCACGGACACCCAAATCCAAGATCACCTTCCCCTGGTGGAGGCCCCACCCCCTCTGTTGGTGTTGGTGCCCATCCCCAGGCCTCCAACCAGCCACGCGCAGAGGTGGGTTAATGGGGCAGGGGGAAGGCTTCGTAGAAGCACCCCTGCTTCTCGGAAGGCGCGGGCATCGCCTACAGATGTACGGCCAGCGCCTTCTACGAAGCAGCCTCCTTCTAAGCAGCCTTCCCCCCTCCCCCCTGCCCCCTTCGTGCGCGCCGCCAAGATCGACTATACGTAAGAGTGGCCCCCGATCGCCGAGCGCGATGCGACAGCAACGCCTTGCGCGCCTGGGTTTTTGCCCTCCCCCCCCTGCCCTCCCCCCCGCGGCCACCCCAAAGCCGCGCACCAAAGGTCGCTCTTACCCAGGGTCATCACTCTTGCGTGTAGCCGACGAGAGCCAAGGTAGGAAGAGCCACCCAGACCCGATCGCGTTGGCGTTTCTACTGCACGGCCCTGGGCGTCTGCTAATCAGCCCTGCCCGATCTGCTTCCTCCTTTGGGTGGAGGAGGAGGAGGCGGTGGAGGAGGAGGAGGGGGAGGAGGAGGAGGAGGAGGAGGCGGAGGCGGAGGAGGAGGAGGCGGAGGAGGAGGAGGCGGAGGCGGAGGCGGAGGCGGAGGAGGAGGAGGAGGAGGAGGAGGAGGAGGAGGAGGAGGAGGAGGAGGAGGAGGAGGAGGAGGAGGAGGAGGAGGAGGATGTGTCTGTCGAAAGAGGTGTCGCCGATGCAGTTCCGCGGCAGGCTCTCGACGACGCCGCAGGCGCCCGGCGCCGCGGCCCCGCCGCCGCGGGCGCGCGGCCCGGCGGAGGCCGCGCGGCCCGCTGGCGGCGAGCCTGGCGCCGGCCACCTGCCGCCGTGGATCGAGGCCCACGCGGGCACGCACTGAGCGCCGCGCCGTGGGGCTCCTCCGGCAGCAAGTCACGGGGGCCTTCCTTCGGAATTCCGTCTTCAGCTCGGGCCGGACGCAAGGGGGGGATTGGGAAAGGGGGGGTTTACGAAATTTGCTGCATGCAGCTGGTTTCGGCCTCACCGAGGGGCCCATTCCTCGATACATAGCTCCCTCCGGCGCCGGGAGGCGATGGGAAAATCAGCTACGTGAGCTGATTCTCAACCCCCCCCTTTGCTATCCCCCCCTTTCGCCCGACCCGATCAGCGTCGATTCGCGTCGATGAGCGTCTGGGAGTCGATGAGATAGCGCCGATTTAGAGCGTCGGCTTGCGTCGAGTAGCGTCGATTCAGCGTCGGTTAGCGTCGACTGGCGTCGGCGGGCGTCGATTCGCAAGAGCCGACAAGATGGCATGGAAGGCTCCCGTGAGTTGCCACCGAAGGCTCCAGTGTTTTTCCGCACTCTGGGCCATGACGCGCGCCCAAGCATTTCGAGGAAAGTCTGGCTGTGACGGTAAGGGATCTCTCGAGGACGAACAGCGGCATCGGCATCCTTTTCCTCCTCCGAAGCCAGCCCTTCTGGGCCATCTTAGAGAGCCCCTGGGGCCCTCTGGGCCTCGCGAGGGGTGCTCTAGAGGCCACCGCGGGCATCCTGCGGACATATCCTGGGCAAGGGACACCTTGAGCGTGTTTTATTTTACCCTCTGGGCCATGACGCGCGTGATGCCCCCTCCCCTCCCCCCCATAACGTAAGGCTCCACCCCTCAGTGCGTCCCGGGCACTGCCGCAGTGCGTCTGGCACCACAGTCTGGTGGAGGGGTGCTACGTTATGCCCCCTCCCCTACCCCCATACGCCCGTTATGGCGGCGAACAAGAAACGCGTCCCTTCGAGGAAGGAGACGTCGGCTGTTGCTAAAGGTGCCCCTGGCCCAACATGCCCCAAGCTTTTCGCTCTATTAGCCCCTGGGGCCCTCTGGGCTCCTGGGAAATCGTTGTGGCACCCTGGGCCAGGTGCACTTCAAGAAACACCCGAAGGAACAGCAGAGTTCGGTGGCAAATCGTGGGAGCCTCATGTGTCCTCGGTGGCCCGTCTGGAGAGCGCATGGGCGCACGAGCGTGCGATAGCGCTTCTGGGAATCGACGAGGAGGCGCCGATTTGGCGTCGACTGGCGTCGATCTGGCGCCGATCGGCGTCGATTCAGCTTCGACTGGCGTCGAGTCGCAAGAGCCAACAAGATGGCATGGGTCGGCGACGATCGAGGGGGGGAAGTGAGAAGGAGAAGGACTTCTCAGAAGGCTCGGAGGTATCCTGCCTTCTGAGAGGTTCTCGAAGCCCTCCCCGGAGACAGAATGACTCCTTAGAAGGCGCGAGGGCCCCTGAGAAGTCCCGCCGCCTTCTGAGAAGCCCTTCTCCTCGCTTCCCCCCCTCGCTCGCCGCCGAAGACGGCGTGGGAGGCTGCCGCGAGCTGCCGCCAGAGGCACCCGCCTGCCAGCCGGCGCGGCGTGGCCCTCCCGGTGCACACGGCCTTCCGGCCGTGCCCGAGGCCGCCTGGGCCCCCCCCTCGTGGCGAGGGCTCTCTCCGCGCCCGAGGCCTCCCCCGGCGTTCCAGGGCTGGACCTAAACTGAAGTCCGGCCTGTCCCCCCCTGCATGGGGGGTTGTCGACGAAAAATAAGAAATAGTAAGAAGATGCCCCAAACATCTTCAAACATAGTCGAAACATCGTCCCCAGACTATTTTCTGACTATTCTGAATATTCCTCCTGTAGAGGGACATGCCCGACTTACACCTAAACGCTGTTTTGCGGGACTTCGTTTTTTTTTTGCTGTTCTCTTCCCGAGCGCGTTCCACTACTCGCAAAGTGCCTGCTTCCAAACGTCCGAACAGCACATGTCTGTTTTGGCGTAATGTAGCGCAGATTCCCCGCGGGGGATCCAGGCCATTTGCGAGTAGCTACTTTGCGAGTAGTGGAGCGCGCTCGTGTAGTTTTGGCAGGGAGGTACATGAAAGCATGTGGAGCAAAACGAACATCAGAACGAAAGCAAAACGAGAAGCAACGCTTAGGTTCTGCCCTGCTGCGTTCCTCCTCCGCGGCCGCCCTCTCTTTTTCCGCTCTTCGGGTGGGCCTCTGCCCTGCGCGGCCTGCCGGGCGACCGAACGCGTTGGCGTCCTCCTTCGCCGCCGACCAGACGTGTCGGCCAGCGTCGACACCAGGCAGTGCGCTGTGTGGAGGTCGGGGCTGTGCGGCGCACGCTGTGCGGTGAGCGCCGTGTCCCGTGAGCTGCGCGGTGCGAGCCGTGGAGGCGAAAGCCCGTGCGATGTGCAGCCGGTGCGAGGTGCGCTGGCCATCTCTCCGTGCCGTCGGCGTCGGTGCAGGCTCCGCGGTGTGAGCTCCGTGGCGAGAGCCGCGCCGCGCAGGCCCCGAGCGCGGGGCGCCCGCGGGGCGCCCCGCGGGGCGCCCGCGGGGCGGCCGCGGGGCGGCCGCGGGGCGGCGCGGCGGTGGCGCAGCTTCGGGCAGCCCGCCCCGGGCGCACCGAAAGCGCGCCCCTTTGGGAGGCCTGCGCGGGGCCTCTCCACCGGGCGGCCGCGGGCGGCAGCGGGGCACAGCCTCGGCATCCTGCCCCCCCGCGGGGCGGCAGCGCTGGGGCGCTCCACGCGCGGAGGCCGCCCACGGGGCGCCTCCACGAGGCTCCTCCACGAGGCGCCCCCACGAGGCGGCCAGGGGCGGCAGCGTGGCGCACACCCGGCATGCCAAGCCAGCTCCTTCACTGAGAGGCCAGAGCCCTGACGTTTGTGGAAGTCGTGTAGCGGAGAGGAGGCATGCTGCCAAATAATTTCCAGATGTCTAGAAGATGTGTCAAACATGTTCATTACAGGTGAAACTCATGTTTGGAACATGCTCGAACATGTTTTACACATTTTAAGCACATCTTTAATTCAAAGATCGGATTGTTAGAGTATCCGTTGTCATGGCATCCACAACCTTCCGTGCAAGCGCTGTTTGGGGAATCAGCTTTCGGGACTTCGCGCGGAGCTCCGAGTCCAGATTTTTCCTCCTCCGTCTCTTGGCGCCGGCGTCGAATCGATTTCGGGCCACTGGCCCGCCACATGAGTTGGGCCAGGGCCGCTAACGAGCACCTTTTTGCGCTTGCGTCCTGAGGGGGGCACCCGCCTGTGCTTCTCGTTTCGAACGGCCGCCGCCTCTTCGGAGTCCCGTGACCATCGATGATCACTGGGACGTGTGTCAGCCCAGCATGTTCTGAACGCGTCCAGCTCCGCCGATACCGCGCAGAAGGTTCAGGAGGGAAAGAAACACACAGACACAATTAATCGTCGACTCCCTGGAAAATATGGGAACATATGGGAAGTGGGGGGGAAGACAAAGACCTAGAAAATATGGGAAAATATGGGGAATCTTTTTATTTGTGTGTATTTATTTGTGTGTCCCAGGGCCCTCATTGCGCCGCCTGTCTCGTGCTGAAGGGCTCCGGTGGGCAGGCACACGCTGGCGCTGACACGCGTGCCGAGGCTCATCGAGCGCAGCAGTGGCCGAGCAGAGCGCGCGGCTCGTCGGATGCCTCAGTGGACACCGAGCTGTGGCCGCTGCGCCTAAATGGGCATCGCCTCCACGAGGGAAAGAGCGCGCGGGCGCGCTGGCGCCTCGGTCGTGCTTGTCCTTGTGCAAGGAGCCCCCTCCCCCCCGACCCGCCACTCTCGGAGCAGAAACGGCATAAGCATACGCTGTTGGAGGTCATGCTCAGATTTCTTGGATCGGCGCTGTGACAATCTGGCGGCGCCTCTGGCGCCGCCACTGGCGCGCTCCGCGCGCCAAGCAGGGGTGTCCAGCGCCCATCCAAGATGTCCGCGCGGAGCTCTGGGAAATTCATGGTCATGCAGTTGTTTCTTCGTTTAGACATCCGAAAACATATCATGCTAGGCAACTTTACGGACGCCAGGACCCTACATGAGACTGGATCTTCCCCGTCCTCCCTCTCCTCCGCCTCTTTCAACAAAATGGAGGAACTTGATGATGCTGCTGCTGCTGATGGTGAGGAGGATAGTAAGCCCCCCCTCGCATCTGAGTCCCCCCCCGGGCACCTGGGGGTGGTGGCGCTCCACCTTTACGCATCGTGCTTCAGTTTGCCACCATTTTTCATCTCGAGCTCCCCATGCGACCCTGCGCAAGTCAGGCGGGAGCTCTGGTTTTGAAAGAACTTGCCCTGCACCCTTCAAGCTGTACGGTATGCGACAAGGTCAGGTCATACAGTTTCAGGAGGTTCCCAGCGACAGCCCGTCCTGCTTCGACAAGGAATGGCTCCTCCTCGGTGAAGCGGTTGCAATATCTCAGACGCCTGGTCGTAAGATCTAAGTAAGCCTCGGCAATAGCTCAATCCGGAGAAGGAGCCGCCCTTTCAGTGCCCGGGCAAGTGTGTGTGTGTGTGTGTGTGTTTTAGCCCAAGTTTGTACTCGTGGTAATAACGTGCGGGGAAGTTTCGGGCCAGAGCTCCATCTTGCAGCAACGCGCGTATGGGGGGTAGGGGGAGGGGGGAATGCTTCTTAGAAGTGTCCCTGCTTCTTAGATGCCTTCCCCCTCCCCCATACCCACCTCTGCTCGTCGCCAAATTCTGAAAAAGAACAGCTTTCATCAGTTTGACTGTTTTGATGATGAGGTCGAGGACGAGGACGAGGACGTGGACGTGGACGAGGACGACGAGGACGATGACGATGACGAGGACGAGGACGATGACGAGGACGAGGACGACGACGACGACGACGACTACGAAGGAGGAGGAGGAGGACCAGTGGAAACCCAAGAGCCATCAACGATGTCGGAATCAACTCTCCCTCCAGGCTCCCTTCATAGGCTCTTACGACGGTTCATTTCCGCTCAGGGAACTGCCTCGTTGGAAGACAACCGTTGGAAGACCCTGAAGCAAGCCAAAACATTGTTCTCGGGATTCCAGTGCCATGGATCAACCTGACTGTTGCGTCTTGACGATCTTGAACCGTGCCAGAACGCCATTCCTGGGACTCCAACTCCGCGAATCAGCGTAACTGTGGCACCCTCATAATCCTGAATCCTCCAAAACACGATTTCGGGCTTGTTGATCATGGGAATCCGTGAAACTCTTTCAAATTTTATGAACGAATGTGCGCGGCGCTAAGGCGAGAGCCACATTTTGAAAATGAGCTGCCCTCAATCCGTGAAGCTCTTGCAATTTGTTAGAATCAATGTGCGCGGCGCTAAGGCGAGAGTCTCAAAAGAAAACGACCCGCCCTCAATCCGTGAAACTCTTTCGAATCTTTAAAGCGACTGTGCGCGGCGCTAAAGCGAGAACCATATTTTGAAAACGAAACGCCCTCAATCCGCGAAGCTCTTTCAAAGTTTAAGAACGAAGGTGCGCGGCGCTACGGCGACAGCCGCATTCTGAAAACGAGCCGCCCTCAATCCGTGAGACTCGTGCACATGTTTAAAACGATTGTGCGCGGTGCTGAGGCGACGGCCACATTTAGTAAACGACCCGCCCTCCATCTGTGAAGCTGTTGTATTTTTCAGTGTCGGGGTCACGAATAGTGAGGGCAACTCAGGCGAGACGCCCGGCCCGCCCAAAAAAACTGGCCTCTGGGTGCGACAGGGAGAAGTTGTTTATAAGGAAAAGGGATGGAGGAGGAGGAGGAGGAGGAGGAGGAGGAGGAGGAGGAGGAGGAGGAGGAGGAGGAGGAGGAGGAAGAGGAGGATGAGGTGTCGGGGGGCAAGTGCGAAAGAGAAGAGCTTCTCAGAAGTTGTTTATAAGGGAAAGTAATGAGGAGGAGGAGGAAGAGGAGGAAGAGGAGGAGGAGGAAGAGGAGGAGGAGAGGAGGAGGAGGAGGAGGAGGAGGGGGGGGAGGAGGAGGAGGGAGGAGGAGGAGGAGAGGAGGAGCGGAGGAGGAGGAGGAAGAGGAGGAGGAGGAGGAGGAGGAGGAGGAGGAGGAGGAGGAGGAGGAGGAGGAGGGGGAGGCGGAGGCGGAGGCGGGAGGAGGCGGAGGAGGAGGAGGAGGAGGAGGAGGAGGAGGAGGAGGAAGAGCGGAGGCGGAGGGAGGAGAAGGAGGAGGAGGAGGAGGAGGAGGACGAGGACGAGGACGAGGACGACGACGACGACGAGGATCACGACGACGACGAAGACCTCGAAGACGACGACGACGAGGACGTCGGCGGCGGCGATGACGAGGAGGACGACGACGACAGCGACGACGATGACGACGACGACGCCGCTTGCGGAGCCGCTCGCTGGGCCCGAGGGGGCTGGCCGCCAGCGCGTGCGCGTCTCGCGCGCGCGCGGCGGCGGCGCCAGAGGCCGCGGGGGGGCGCTGTCTGGGGCTCCCCTGGTGTGTGTATATACATGTATGTATGTATGTATGCATGCATGCATGCATGCATGCATGCATGCATGCATGTATGTATGTATGTATGTATGTATGTATGTATGTATGTATGTATGTATGTATGTATGTATGTATGTATGTATGTATGTATGTATGTATGTATGTATGTATGTATAGGCATCGCTTGGTTGTGTGCATGTTTCTCAGCGGGAACGATCGAGGATCACCTTGGAGCCTCTTGCGAAAGAGTACACGCACGACATCGACGAATGCACGGGGAATGGACGTCCGTGCGATGTCGAGTGGTCAGGGGCAACGATCGTTCTTACGACGACCTTCTAGCAGTTGCTTCGTACAGCTACCCTCAAGGGAACCTCTTTGGTTCTCCAGCCTCGGGGTGCCTTCCAGCGGCTGCGCCCTCGCCGAGGGCGTTTCGGGGGTGCCCGGATCGTCCCGGGCGGCCGCCAGAGGCCCGAGTTATGACCCAGAAATTACCAAGTGATGGGCTGTAGGGGGGATGTATCGACCCCGAATCGCCATTGATCGCCGATAGGGGTCTGATAGCCCCGCCCCGCCCAGGAATGTGGGGATTTGTGCTATCGGGGGCCTATCGCCGATCTATCGGCGATGTATCGCCAATTCCAGGTCAATGTTCCCCCCCCTTATGCCAGTCCCCCCTATCGTTGTCCCTCACTTGCTCCAGGGGAGGCCTCCTCGCCTCCTCCTCCTCATCCTCCTCCTCTGCCTCTTCTGCCCTCTTCCTCCACTTCTTCTCTCTCTCTCTCTCTCTCGTCGCCCTCCTCCTCCTATGTCGCCGCGGGGAGTCAAGAGATTCCCGACCCGCCAAGAGGGTACACATTTCCCCCCTACAGACCCTCAGCCCGCTCTTCCCTCCTCCTGGGTCAAAGGGGGAGGCGAGGGATCACATTGCCGTTCTTACCTTAACGATTCGCCTTCCCAATGGTATCAACATGTGCGGCAATTGACCCCAACGGAGTTATGAATGTGACCTTGAACAGAAAGACGACCGGCATGAGGAGACGTGAAGAACAAAGCGCGCCTATGCGAGGAAATGCCAGATCGCAGAACTTGAGATATGACAGAATCGGTTGATGTTGAGACCGCCAGGACTGGAGCAGATATATCAGTGACATTGGAGTTCGCC